CAGATAAGGGGTTAATTTCCAAAATATATAGAATACTCATACAACTCAACAAAAGGAAGACAAAGAACCCAATTAAAAAATGGGCAGAGGACCTAAATAGACACCTCTCCAAAAGGACATACAAATGGCCAAGAGACAACGTAACTAATCATCAGAGAGATGCAAATTAAAACAACAATGAGGTATCACCTCACACCTATCAGAATGGCCATCATCAACAAATCATCAAACAACAAGTGTTGGCGAGGGTGTGGAGAAATGGACTCTAGTACACTACTGGTGGGAATGCAGACTGGTGCAGCCACTGTGGAAAACACTATGGTGTTACCTCAAAACGTTAAAAATTAAATTGCCATTTGATCCCACTTCTAGGAATATACCCTAAGAAAACTGAAACACCAATCAGAAAGAATATATGTACCCCCATGTTCATAGCAGCACAATAGCTAAGATCTGGAAACAACCCAAGTGTCCATCAGTAGATGAATGGATAAAAAAGCAGTGGTACATATACACAATGGAGTACTATGCAGCTGTAAGAAAGAAAGATCTCTAATTTTTTGAGATAGCATGGAAGGACCTGGAGAGTATTATGCTAAGTGAAACAAGCCAAGCAGAGAAAGACAAATATCACATGATCTCACTTATTTCTGGAATATAATGAACTAAACAACTGCTGAACAAAATTAACCCAGAGACATAGAGGTGGGGTACAGACTGACAAGCCTCAGAAGAGGGGGTTTGGGGGGAAAAGATAAACCACAGAACTTACATGCATGTATGCGTGACCAATGAACATAGACAACAAAGCTGGGGATGGGGTGGGGGTGAAGGGTGCGGGGAAAGGGAGGAGGGTGTCAGTGGGGGAAAAATGAGAAACATCTGTAACAAAAACAAATTTTAAAAAAAAAGAAAAAAAAGAACAAGGATGTTCTTTTACATAACCACAGTACAATTATGAAGCTCAGGAAATTTAACTGAGACAGTATTATCGTCTAATCCACAGTCCCTATTCAGGTTTTGTCTGTTTTCCTAATAATATCCCATATCCGATTTTTGTCTCTTATCTTAATAATGTCCCCTAGACCTAACCTTTTTCTGGTTTAATGATACGCAATGTGGGGTCATATGTTGCATGTAGCTGTCACATCTCCTTAATCTCCTGGAACATTTCCTTGGCCTTTTTGTTTCTTTGTTTCCTGATTTTGACTTTTTGTTGTTGTTGAAAATATAGGTTGGTTATATTGCACACAATTCTCACTTTAATTTTGTCTGGTTTTCCCTCATGGTCAGATTCAGGTAATGCAGTTTTGATAGGAATACTGCAGAAGTGGTCTTGTGTCTCAGGGCCTCCTCTCAGCGGGCAGTGGAGTCAGTTTGTGCCATTGTTGGTGATGTCAAGGTGGTTATCCTCCAGGTCTCCCTGCTGAAAGCTGTTATTATCTTGCTTTGGAAATTAATAAGTAGTTTGTGGTGAGATACTTTGACACCATGTTAATATCTTTCCTGTTTCTCATTCAGCTTTTATCTATGACACCTATGATACTTAAATTTATCTACTGTAACATTTTACCTATGATAATCCATTACAACAACAACCTTTAGCCTTCACTGATGATTTTCTAACTACATCATTCTTCTATATTTATTATTTAGGCATCCTACTATAAGGAAGACCCTCCCTCCCTCCCTCCCTCCCTGCCTCCCTCCCTCCCTCCCTCCTTCCCTCCCTTCCTTTCTTCCTGGAATTCATGCATTCTTATTATAATAGATTTTTAGCACTATTTATTTTGATGCTCATAATAATCAGTCCCAGATTTGGCCAATGGGAGCCTCATCAAGGCGGCACCTATGGCCTTTTGGAATTCCCCTGCCATTCTTTGCATACTTCTTACATTCTAGTGTGGTAAGGTACTCCAAGTTAGTCTTGTCCTTTTCCTGCTCCAGCCATTTCGCAAAGGAGCTGGGTTTTCTTGTAGTTGAGAACTGTATTAGAAACCAGTCTCTGGGTGCCAGGCATGTCTGTTGCTCCTGAGGGTCATTGCTTTAAGGTCATCTCCATATGTGCATATTAAAGAAAGTTTCTGATGACTTGTTGGGACAAGTGGTTTAAAGACTGAGTTTTCTTCCCATGATCTCTGAAAACTAGGGAGTAGTTTCACAAGTGAAACAATATGTATGTGTGTGTGTATATATATATATATACACACACACACACTAATATATATATATATATATTAGAATTCTAGGGATGTCTTTTCTCTATATACTGTTAAATATTCTACATTGCAATTATTCAAGGAAAACATCTTGATATAGCTAGGATGAACAGGGAGGAATAGAAGACTTTGTTTTGATGAGTCCTTTGAAATTAGTTTGGGGTAACTGTGGTTCACTCTCTGTCTCAACTTTTAAAAGTTTGATATAATTGGATCTTTGGGACATTATCCCTGAAGGATCTGAAGTTTCAAGCTGCTGAACTTTTAAATTGTTCAGGGACAGTAGGTATTCCCCAAAACAACAGAGGATTTAAATTTACATAGTATTTTAGTTCCTATCCTTTGATATTTTTACTTATGGAGGTAACAGTCAGTACTTTTGCAAGAAATGAATTGCACTGTTGATTTTTATGTAATATGTTTAACATTTTCAATGTGGATGCATTTATTCTTTCTTGAACTTAGCTAACTTTATGAAGTACATCATAAAACAACATTTGGAGTTGGTGACAGGGAATTCAGGTCAGAGGACCAATTTTTTTGTCTACTATTTTTTTTTATCCTCACCCAAGGACATTTTTGCATTTATCTTCAGATAGAGCGGGAGGGAGAGATGAGGGGAAGAGAGAAAGAAAGAAACATCAATGTGAGAGAGACACATTGACTGGTTGATACCCACACAACCCCATCCCGGGCCAGGGACAAACTGCAACCAAGGTACGTGCCCTTAGCGGGAACCGAACCCGGGACTCTCCAGTCCGCGGGCCGATGCTCTAACCACTGAGCAAAACTGGCCAGGGCTGTTGTTTACTATTTTTAAACAATATAAAATATCAAGTCCCAGGCAACGGGGCTGATTTTTCATTCTAAAAAAAAATGTTCTTTTTGTTAAGTCCTCACCTGAGGATATGTTTTAATTGATTTTAGAGAGAGGAAGGGAGAGAGAGAGAGAGAGAAAGAAAGAAACACCAATCGCTTGTCTCCCATACACACCCGGACTGGGGATCAAACCTGCAACCTTCTGATATATGGGACGATGCTCCAACTACCTGAGCCAGTAGCCAGGGCAAATTGTGTTTTCTTTGCTAGCCTTAAGAGGAGCACAACAAATTGTAAATTTTTAAAAAATAATCTCATACAATAATACAAAAAGATTATTGTAGAGAACTTGTTAAATATAAAATTTGGCAGAGAAACCCCTAAGAAATAATCTACCCAATGCATAAGTAACTACTGTGATGTGGGAAAATGAAGCTCTCAGGAAGAAGAGCAAACACTCTGCTGCCAGGTACCACAGAGGGAGGTGACAATTCAGTGTTACTGACACTGTTCGGACCCACAGTGTAAGTCGCCTGGGGACTACTGCCTAATATGGACAGACAGGCCGACAAACGAAAGGACTCGCTAATAGGCCAGATAGGAGATACAGTAGAAGAGAAGTCAAAGATCATGTATGTCAAAGAATAACGAAATGTAATGCAAACTATCGAAAAATATGAAGCCCCTGTTAGAGGGGCATGATGTACAATACTGCCCACAATTTCATTATTTCTGCCATTCCTATCTGTGTTACTTTTAGAACTGGGAGACAAATGGTAACACTGGAACTGAGAGGCTGGGAAGACACGTCAGTGGTGGGAAAGTGAAGACTGAAATATTAAGATCCACCACGGAATCGAGGAATTTGGGAAAGAAAGAACAAAAGTAGGATGGCAGTTTGCATGTGTAGCATGGCCACGAAGGGAGATTTTAAGAACAAGTGTATTTGACCACAGAATGAACTCGTGGGGAAGGAAACGGATGGGAAGTGGTAAAAAGCAATGTCCTTGCAGAAGCGAGGTGAGTGTTAGCAATTTCTTTAGTTAATTATGCGGAATGTGAAAAAAGTAAAACTGCAAGAGTCTTGTTTGGAATTTGGTGATCTGTAATCTTTGCAAAGAGATTTTAAGATCGTTTAAAGAGGGAGTTTAATTTCTGCATTTCCTGGGTCTTCATGAGTTTTTAGGTATAATAAGAGTATCACCTGGGTGTAATTTTTAGAACTATTTACATACAAAGGGATGGGTGTTGATAATGAATGAAACGATACAGTGGCTGTATCAGTATTTAAACGAGGAGAGTTATTTTGTGTGACTTGTAAACTGGTTCTTGAATATAATCAAAATAGGTATCTACAATACTTCAAACAGTGTCATCATTTTGAAACAAATATATAGACCTCCAAGCTGTTAGTAGGAAGGTCAAAGTAATTCTAGATCCAGAACTTCCCAGATATTAGTTTAAAATATACTTGTTTCTTTCAACATTCCTCCTCTTCTTCCAGTGAAGATCATTTATTGTACAAATGTGCTTTCTTTCCCTCACGTATCTGGTTTACTTTTCTAACTTGTGCTCAATAATTTATTCAGGGTTCATTCATATGTTTCATCATTCAGTACTTTCAAATCTTCACTGAAAACCTTTGTGTGTCAAGCATAGGCTTATGAGCTGAGATTAAATATTAAATAGGTTTAGTCTTGTTTTCAAATTCACTCTTTTCTGAAATTTGTTAGAATAATCAACTTTTTATGTAGCCCATAGTGTTCTTCCCTTAGAACAATAGCTACACTATTCTGTGTTTTTTTGTATGTGTGGTAAGATAGTGTTTGTAACAGTGAAAATAAGTTTGCCGGTGTTTTCCTAACTACATGAACATTATACTCTATACATCTCTTTGTGTTCTCAGATGAAATGAAGAGAGTAATTCTAGAATAATGACAGGTGAAAAAAAAATAAAAGGAAATGCAAGGAGAAAACCTCACCATTTGGAGCTTTTTTTTCCTGGAGGGTTTTTCTAGATACCCCAAGTTAGAGATTGTTCTCTTCGTCTTCAGCCTTGTAATGTATCTGATATCCCTCGTGGGAAACAGCACTCTCATTTTAATCACCATCCTAGATCCACGCCTTCAGACCCCCATGTACATTTTCCTTGGAAACCTCTCGTTCATGGATATTTGTTTCACATCTGCTTCTATTCCCACTTTGCTGGTGAACTTACTGTCATCCCAGAAAACCATCATCTTTTCAGGGTGCGCTGTACAGATGTATCTGTCCCTTGCCATGGGCTCCACGGAATGTGTGCTCCTGGCTGTGATGGCGTATGACCGTTATGTGGCCATCTGTAACCCGCTGAGGTACCCCATGGTCATGAACAGGCAGGTCTGTGTGCAGATGGCCACCGTCTCCTGGGTGACCGGCTGTCTGACCGCCCTGCTGGAAACCAGCTTTGCTCTGCGGGTGCCCCTCTGTGGGAATCTCATCGATCACTTCACGTGTGAAATTCTGGCGGTGCTGAAGTTGGCCTGTACAAGTTCGCTGCTCGTGGACACGATCATGCTGGTGGTCGGTGTGCTCCTGCTGCCCATTCCGATGCTCTTAATCTGCATCTCTTACGTCTTCATCCTGTCCACTGTTCTGCAAATCAGTTCAGCCGAGGGGAGAAACAAAGCCTTTTCTACCTGTGGCGCCCACTTGACGGTGGTGATCTTGTATTACGGGGCTGCTCTCTCCATGTACCTGAAGCCTTCTTCATCGGGTTCACATGAAATAGATAAAATCATCTCTTTGTTTTATGGCATGCTTGCCCCTATGTTGAATCCCATAATTTACAGTTTAAGAAACAAAGAAGTCAAAGACGCTATGAAAAAACTGCAGGGCAAAATGTAATTGCAGCAAACATATGAAAGTTTCTGACGGGGTGGGTGCCTGTGATTTTCCCAGGGGTTTGGCCCCCCGGCAGTGGTCACTAGGGAAATTCTAGACAAGATCCTCCCCCTGAGAGCCCTGCCTTGATCGTGAGCTCTGTAATCTTGCAGGTGTGAGATCTGTGCACACAGAGTGATTGCCCGGGGCCGATAGGAGATTCCAGTTTGCATTTAGTAATATTTTCTGTAGTTATGTTTGGGGCTATAGGGTCATCACCATTTGTTCCAGAAGGACACTTAGAATCAGTGAATGTTCGTGTCAGGAGAAACTTGGACGCCTTCATGGCCTTGAATCCTTTCTCAGATGAGGTGGGAGGGATCAGGAAACAGAGAAGTCACAGGTTCTGTAAGCGAGAAAACAGAAGCAAAGAAAGTGAAGAGACTTGCTCAAGATCCCACGTTTGCCGGACTGGAAGGGCCCCCCTCATCCTTTCTCTTGTGCCCCGGACCTTGCCTGCTGCACCATGGTGGCCCCCGCATCACCCTTCCTTCTTCCAAACTCCTGATGCAAATCCTCGACCCCCTGAGGAAGGCATCCGATACCTGCCCGGTGTCCTCGCCACCAGCTTGGCTGTTCTAAGAACCTAGATTCTGTGCAGTCTGCACCCGGACGCCAGTGAAGACTTCTTTGTGCCTGTTTGTGTGCTTTTCTTCATTGGATGACTGACTTCACAAGGGCAAGCGTTCCTACAATCTTGTACCTTTTAGGTTCATAGCAGTGATTCAGTAAACAAATAAATCTATTGTCTTTAAACTAGTCACTTTGTTTGAGAAGTCCCACTTGTGAAATGTATGCAGAAGAGACAACATGAGCAACGAGGTACATTGCTTTGCAAATATCTAACAGTTACAGAGACAATTTACATGAGCTGTTTTCAGCCTTTTGCTTGTATAAAAATACTGCTCGTTTAAACGCAGTGTGGGGCCTCCGTTCCCTCGTACTCTGACTCAGTAGCTGTGGGGCGAGGTCCTGATAATCGCATTTACAGCCGATCCCCAAGGAATTCTGAAAACGGCTGTGGGGTGACCATACTTTGGCAGACATTTTCAGCGAACATCTAATCCCAAAAGAAACATAGGATTTGTTCTTATTTCTTTTTGTTTCCTTTCCCTTTTATTTTTGTCTCCCAGTCTTCCTGTCCCCGAGCACATCTTCTCTCTTGCCTCTCTCCGCAGGGAAGAGAGAGGGTTTTGAGTGGAGGGAGGGAACCCACTTGACACATTTCAAAATATGAAAGCCCTAAGAAGGTTTAGTATTGGCTATCAACTTCTGGGTTATTTAATTGAGACCAGTCCCTTAGATCTTGGGCTCCCATGGCGTGTTCCTGGATGTGTGACCTACATTTTCAGAGACTTGCAGTAACCACACAGCAACATTCTGGTGACGGAGTAAGGGGACAAATCTGATGCCAGACATTGCCACCAAGAGATATTTGACAGTGGGGAGTGGAAGTGAGCCCTGAGTTTTGGGGCAGTAGGGGAGAGCTGACCGGGAAGCTCTCAGAGCAGCTAGAATTAGTTTTCTGATTAGATACCTCAACCTTCACAACCCTAACACCACATCCATTTCCTGGTAATTTCAGAGTTGTTTTGAAGTGACATTTTATAGTAGGCTTTTATTAGGGCAGAGCTGGATTTTGTGTGAGAGTAGAACAAATTATCTGCCTCCTGGACTTAGCTATTATATGGGTGGTACCAAATAGAAGCAGGAATAACCAGAGTTATGGAAATAGCAGAAGTCTTCCCTTCAGAGAGTGAACTATGAGAACTTGCAGGGTCTGAACACACTCTGTAATGAGTATACCAGCTTTGACACGTGGAACTGGGCAAATGTTTCAGGATGGGATATGGACCAGCATGGGACACTGCCAAAGAAGAGAAATGACCCGGATGTCAGAAAAAGGCCCAAGATGGAACACCGCAGCAGAATAGGAATTGCAGTCATTATAGCGATGTGTTACATGAAGTCACTGAAAACAGTGAACAAATATAAATATAAATGTGTTTTATATAGTGTAGACAATAGTGAAGTTAGTTATTTGAAAATGGTATATTTCTCCATTTGAATTAGCTTCCATCTCAGCAGTACTAATTACAATGATTACTTTTGCACCGAGGACACTTTTCCATTTATCTTCAGATAGAGGGAGGGAGAGAGAGAGAGAAACATCAATGTGAGAGAGACACATCGACTGGTTGCCTCCTGCATGACCCCAACGGGCCAGGGACTGAACCACAACCGAGGTACATGCCCTTGACTGGAAGCAAACCTGTAATTCTTTGGTCCATGGGCCAATGGTCCAACTGCTGAGCCAAACTGGCCAGGGCACAATTCTTACTTTTAAAAAAATGTTTTAATTGATTTTTTAGAGCAAGAGGAAGGGAGAGAGAGAGAGAGAGAGAGAGAGAAAACCATTAATGTGAAATAGAAACATCAATCAGCTGCCTCCTGCACGCCCCCTACTGGGGATTGAGCCCACAAACTGGGCATGTGCCCTGACTGGGAATCGTACTGGGACTTCTCAGTCCATGGGATGGCACTCAATCCACTGAGCCACACTAGCAGGGCCCAGTCATTCCTTTTATAGTCTCAGGTAAGGGATCCTTTCCCAGTATCATTAAAAAGAGGAATATATTTGAAAGAGAAGGTAGAACCACCTGTGACAGAGCCAATTCCTGGTGAATGAAAACATGGCTGGATTTGTACTTTAGGAAAATCTGATCATGTTATTTTCCTGCTTAAAATCCCTTAGTGGCTTTTTATTATTCTGAAGCCCAAGTCCTTAATACAACATTCAAGGTCTTTCATAACCTCATTGCTCACTATTTACATTTTTTACTCTAGGAACACAAGATTTCTTTTAGTTCTATAAAAATGTTGTGCTCTGTCTTGCTTGTTCTTTTATTAAGAACATATATCACAATTTGTAATTTGATAGTAATTTGTGGGTTTACTTATTTAATGTCTCTCTCTCATCTGTGGGTTCATTGAGGCAAGGGCTGTGTCAGTTTCATTTACCACTGTCTGCCCACAGCTCAGTCCACGCTCTGACACAGAAGACATTCAGAGCCTACTTTTATGAAGGAACATGTGTTCACTGAGCATCTGTTGAATAAAAATATGCATGGAATAAACTTTTGATGGCTATTCAGATAGCCTGTGGTGAGAGAAATGATATCAAAGGTGACTTCTAGGTGCCAAAGAAGGCTGATGGTGTCATTAATGGACACAGGGAAAACTTGAAAAAGATCCCGTTTGGGGATTGAAGGGTAGATCGTGAGTTGTATTTTAGAATGTTAAAATAATCATGGTTTTGAGATATATAAGTAGAGATATCAAGGAGTCAGTTGAATAGGCTGGTTTGGAATTAATGAGAAAAATCAGCCTAGAGATAGAAACTTGTGACTCATTTGCATAAATCTAATAATTTAAGTAATGAACATGGTTGACATTAATAGGAAGAGAGTATAGGGTGAGAAAATTACCTAAGAAGAAACTAGAGGAACACTAATATTTAAAGTCCATCAAGCAGGAAAAGCCAACAAAGGGGTATTGAATAAGAGCAACCCCTAAAGTAGGGAGAGAGCAAAAATCAGGAGACAGATTCCAGTTGTGGTCAAGAAGAAGTAATATCACTGAATCCTGTTTCTCCTAGTGTGTCCAATAAAACACTCTAGATGGGATGTGAGGAGCATCTGAGGATTCTGAAAAATAAATAAAAGCAGGTAGACCCAGGGAGAAAACTATAATGCAAGAGACCAACAAACTCTTGGTGAATTTTCTGGGTTTCTTGTTTCTTTCCCCCCTCCAATAGCTCTTGGCTCAGGCTCAAGGGCAACCTGATACCCAAACCTACACACTAGGTTTAGACAGAAAGACAGACAAAAAGAGCTCCAACTATTAGAGCTAATACACAGGTTCAGCAGAGTTTCAGGATACAAGATCAATACACAAAAGCCAGTGATATTTCTATATAAGAGGAGTCCATCCAAATTAAGAAACAAAGAAAACAATTCCATGTACATCAAAAAGAATAAAACACTTAGAAATAAATCTGCTTAAGAGTTTTAAGACTTGTATTCTAAACACTACAAAATTGTTGAAAGAAAAGAAAGAAGATCTAAATAAATGGGAAGATATCCATGTTCATGGATTGGAAGACTTAATATTATTATTACATTTTAATTAAATGAAAAAATTTATTGTAGTTGAAAACACATAAGATTTATCACCTTGCCCATTTTTTTTTTTTTTTCTAATCCTCACCCGAGGATATTTTTCCATTTTTTGTACAGATAGAGTGGGAGGGAGAGAGAGGGAGAGAGAGAGAGAAACATCGACGTGAAGGGACACATCGAGTGGCTGCCACCCGCACGACCAACCAGGGCCGGGGACAAACTGCAACCGAGGTACGTGCCCTTAGCGGGAACCGAACCTGGGTCTCTCCGGACCGCAGGCCGACGCTCTAACCGCTGAGCCAAACTGGCCAAGGCTCACCTTGCCCATTTTTAAATGCACCGTACCATAGTGTTACGTATATTCACGTTGTGTAACACTGAAACTACTGACATTGAACAACGTCTTTCCATTTCTCCTCCCCTTAGCTCCTGGCCACCATCATTCTACTTTCTTTCTTTCTTTTTTTTTATCCTCACCCAAGGACATTTTTCTTTTATTAATTAATTAATTTATTTTTGTTACAGATGTTTCTCCTTTCCCCCCACTGATTCCCCCTTTCCCCTCCCTCCCCACCCTGTCTCCAGCTTTGTTGTCCATGTCCATTGTTTATGCACACATGCATGTAAGTTCTGTGGTTTATCTCTCCCCCACCACCCCCTCTTCTGAGGGTTGTTAGTCTGTACCCCACTTCCACGTCTCTGGGACTACCCCATTCCTCAGACTGTTATGTTCATTATATTCCACAAATAAGTGAGATCATATGATACTTGTCTTTCTCTATT